TGTATACTAGGGTCTTTTTTCTCATCTTTGTTGTAGATTTGTTCCACCTACAGTTGAGTCCATATCATAGTGTCATAATATTTTGATATCTCGCAGACAGGTCCCTTTTGACTATTCTTGTTTACCTTTCTCTTAACTATTACTTTCTGCATATTGTTCTAGGTCAAGTGTACAGTCATTTTAATCACTTCCAAAAATTAGCTACCCACTCAAAATTGTATTGGGGTATTATATGTCTAAATTAATTTAGGAAGAATTGGTACATTTATAATATCTAGCATAACTATCCAGGAATGGGATACGTGTTTTCACTTAAAATTTCCATTTAAAGTAAAAAGTTTCTTCACAGTGAAGGAAACAATCAACGAAACTAAAAGTTAATCTACTGAATAGGGGAAGATATTTGCAAATAACATATCTGATAAAGGGTTAATATCCAAAATATATAAAGAACTGATACAACTGAATATCCAAAAATAAATAATCCAATTTTAAAATGGGCAGAAAACATGAAAAGTCATTTCTCCAAAGAAGACATACAGATGGCCAACAGACACATGCAAAGATGCTTGACATCAGGGAAATGCAAAGCAAAACTACAATGAGATATCTCCTCACACATGTCAGAGTGGCTAAAATCAACAAAACAAGAAACAACAAGTATTGGTGAGGATCTGTAGAGGAAAAAAAAAAAAGCCCTTTGACCTGTTGGTAGCAATGCAAACTGGTGCTCCCACTAGAAAATGGTATGAAGTTTCCTCAAAAATTGAAAATGGAATTATCTTATTATCCAGGAATTGCACTACTGAGCATTTACACCCAAAACACAAAAACACATGCACCTTTATTTACAATATCCAAACTATAAAAACAGCCCGTGCCCATCAACAGATGAATGGATAAAGAAGATGTGATGTGTGTGTGTGTGTATACACACACACACACACACACACACACAGAGATATACACATATACATAAATATATGTATATACATTATATATAAAATAGATTATTCAGCTATTAAAAAGAATCAAGTCTTGCCATTTACAACAGCATGAATAGAGCTAAAGACCATAATGCTGAGCGAAATAAGTCAGTCAGAGAAAGACAAATACCATATGATTTCACTCTTCTGTGGAATTTAAGAAATAAAACAAATGAGCAAAGGATCAAAAAGGAGAGAGAGAGACAAACCAAGAAACAGAATCTTAACTATAGAGAACAAATTGATGGTTACCAGCTGGGAGGTAGGTGGGAGGATGAGGGTCCTAGGGGATAGGGATTAAAGAGTATACTTACCATTATTTTTTAAAAAATCGTTTTAAAAAATAAATAAAATTTTTTATGCCTATATTTTTTTCAAATAGGTAATATGCTTCTCTTATTATGGTTGCTCCTAAATATTTTGCATTTCTTCTGGTTCCTGCAATTTAATTTTATAATGCCCTACATTTCTTGTTTTTCATAGAGATTGTTCCCACCTCTCTTAGTAGGGTATCTGTGAGAAAATTAAGTCCTATAGAAAAAGATTTGAATGACCCCTTTCAGAATTTTCCAAAGGATGGTATTTGGCCAGTACCATTCTATATGCCTAACTTGTTCCTTACATACCTACAGTCCTTACACACAAAGAGTCCCGAGGGCTACAACTCTGTGGCATCCTGATTGAGAACTGGGACTTTCTTTAAGCTCTTCGAACTCTTCTTACCCCATGACTTTTACTTACTACAGATGACCTAACTGACTAATAATACCTCAGAGAGAACTATAAAACCACCAAACTACCTCAATTTCCCGCCACAAAATCTACAAATCTACTTGCAACTGAACTTAAATTTTTCCTCTTCCTGTTCTAACGAGAGCAGTGCTCCCTCTAGAGCCACTTCCTCCACTCTGAAGCTCTTCCCTGGGCTCTCAGCTTTCCCCTCTCTTTTTTATCTCCAGTCTCTACTCTTTACTGGATCTGTCTTATCAACATTAGAATGATAGTCTAATCAGCTTTCAAAACTAAATTTCAAGTGCTCCTCCAACTACCCCTCGACTTGGCTAAATCTTCTACATTCACTGACACTTCCCACTTATTTCACAAACCAATCAAACCCAGCTCTCCACTGAAGTTTTTTCCCAAAGTCATTAATTCTCTCCAGTTAACTAATATCATAGACCTTTTTCAGCCATTGTCTTGATGAGCTTTTAGCGCCATTTTATGGCAGTAACCATTCCCTTCTGTTGAAAGCGTTCTTTTTTCTTGCCTCTGTGCCACTAAATTCCCCCTCTTCCTGTTCTTACCTCTTTGGGTTCTCCTCAATTATCTTACCAACCCTTATCTTTTTTTCCCTGCTTTTCACAACTCTTTTCTCATGGCCTCTTCCGTTATCATTTGGGTTTTTCCCTAGACACTTTTATCCATTACCATGGCTTCAAACCCCATCAAAGTAAATGTCTAGCTAAGTCCTCTGTTCCAGTCACATATATTCAGCTGCTCACTTCAAGTCTATACAGGATATTTCATAAGCACTTCAAATACGATGAGTCCCAAACTGAACCCATTATCTTTCTATTCTTTCTGCCTGCTTCCTTTCCCATGTTTCCTAGCTAAAATCACCCACTTTTCTCCATCCCTGAGCTATTATCCTAGTCCAGATATTCTCATCCAGACTTATGCATCTATCTATGACACGATGCTCCTCTTGTCTGCCTTCCCATATAGCCCTCGTTGACGTTTGGTAAGATCTGAGGCATTTTTGGTTGTCACAAGGGGGAGGGTGTGGAATTTGGTGAATAAAAACCAGAGACACTGTGATATGGCTAAACATCCTTCAGTGCACAGGACATCCCCCACAGCACAGAATTATGTCACCCAAAATGTCAGTAATACTAAGTCTGAGAAACATTAACCTATGCTGTTACCTCTATTCCATCCACCATTCCTCTCCTCCCCAACTCCACTCCTCCAAACTCTCACTTATTCTCGGTTCTTTCCTTAAATGTCACTTCTTATGGGGAATGTCCTTAACCACTTCAACTAGGTTAACACCCATGATACCCTTTGTAATTATGTATAATTACTTTTTTAAAAGATTTTATTTATTTATTTGACAGACAGAGGTCACAAGTAGGCAGAGAGGCAGGCAGAGAGAGAGGAGGAAGCAGGCTCCCTGCTGAGCAGAGAGCCTGATGCAGGGCTCCATCCCAGGACCCTGAGACCATGACCTGAGCCGAAGGCAGAGGCTTAACCCACTGAGACACCCAGGTGCCCCACGTATAATTACTTTTAAAGACATGTTTTCCTGCTACACTGGAAAAGAGCAAATCTGTCCATTCACTATTTGCCCCCTAGTACCTATAACTCCATATACCTATACATTAATATCTTGCCCATAAGTTTTAAAAAATAGAACTTTATTCAGAATATTTTAAAAAGCAAATACAACTGTTGTAAATTAGCAATGCTAACACCTATTTTCCCTACCTCACAGTTATCAGTGTTCAAATGAGCTGAAGTACATGTAGGTTTATACTGAAAGTCTCATATCCTGAGCAAACTATGATGGTTGATCACCTCAGGTACAAAATAATTTTTTAAAATTTCGACTTTGTTAAACAAATATTCTATTATCATTTTTTTTAAGTATTTGGAGCAGTTCTGAGTCTTTAGGATGCCCTCGTGTTCATTTCTATAATCATCACAATAACGATACTCTATTATTGTTTCAGGTGTCTTTGGAAATATAGGCTGTGTAGCCTAACGAAAGTATTATATTTTAAAGTTATTAACAAAATCTATATCTGAATTTGTAGTGGATTCCTCTGAGGAGGAAACAATACACCCAAGAAGCACTTTTTCCTTTATTCTATAAAGTGAGCCTTGCCGTACACATGTTGTAACAGCTGATGGCTCACTGGCACCAGCAGCCTCATCAAAGTGGTAGAAAGAACACCTGAGAAAAATTACTTAAATTCCCTATTGACATAAACTTCAGTCAACTGAAGTGTATTTCTAAGTCAATATTTTTGCACTTTCACAATTGTTTATCTAATAAAGAGCTATTATTTCATTGATAAAAAGGGCAATCTAGAGGATTTTATTATGTAATTAGCCATTAACTGTATTAAAAGCATTGGTGGGAAGAAATTGGTCATTTCAAAGGGTTGGGGGTTTTATATTATTTCTTAAGGTAATATGCTTGCATCATTTCACCAAACTAATGGGGTTACAATTTACCTCAGGTCCAGATTTACCACACAACACATTGTCATGTGCCCTTAGTTCTGTGGCACCTCTTTTTAATGATTAGATAACTTGAGGATAATGAAGGCCTTATCGTGTGTCTAATTAGCCATGCAGTCCCTAATGGTAGTCTAACTCATTTAGATAAAAGCAGTTTGCTGATCTGTTCCTTGGCTGGGGGTAGGGAGAGGGAGGGGAGTCTAGGGAGAAAGTGCCTGAGTGTGTGCGTGCTAGAGACACGTACCCTTTCTCCCTGGCTCCCACACCATCTCCACATTGTAAAAGAGATCAGCAAACTGCCTACACACACACACACACACACACACACACACACACACAAGGTTCAAACAAACCACAGCATAAAATTTGGGCTTCTTGATAACTATTAAAGGTTTTGTCTAAATGGGTATGTTCCGAATACCAATTCCTTCCATATCCCCAGCTTTAGTGTTTCTGTTTATATTTAATGGAAATTTCTTAGATCAGGAATGGTCTTTTTTTGCAATCTCTTAAGTATTTGATATTAGGCAAGAATAATTGAAAAATTACCCTTCCTAGGCTAACTGGAAATTGTTCAGTAGGTCCATGTAAAGAAACATCAATTGCCCCAAATCGAACTTAGCTCTGTCTGAAGTTCTCAATCATTCAACAGACTCCTCGGAAATTAACATTTTTTGGTATATTTGCCAGCAAGGATGGTTAGCACTTATTGTTCAGTTTGCAGTATATGTTATGGCAGACACAAATAGAAATGAAAATAATTCTTACCTCATTCTTCAGCTTGCTTCCAGAAAACCTTAAAAATCAGTACATCATCCATTAGTTAAAATAGAAATATAAAATTACAGCAATCAAAGAAATGCAGAGGGCCCACTAAAGTGGTGACTTTGATCATGATTAGTGAAATAAACCTGGAGAAATCAGTTTGATTTTCAAAGAGACCCACACATTCTTCTCAACTTATTTAAAAAATAAACTATTAAGGGAAAGTAAAATGAAGAATATTTAAGGAAATCAGATAAGATCTGAGGCAAGCAAAGCACACTTGACACGAAATATTCATTTTTGTCCAGGCTATATGTTCATTTTCCAGTAAATATAGCCAGTAAGCCACCATTATGTTCTTTACCACATCTGAGTTCATCTTGGTATGACTTAGGTGACCCAAATGGTTTTTTTATACAAGTTACTTTATTTTTCAAATTAATTTATTCCTTTGCAAGCTAAGAGCAGATTACCATAAGTCAACATCAGATGCAGATTTAATTATTCAGAGCTCCAGTATTTAAAAAATAATAATTGTATAGTATCACTGGTTTTGTTGGATGTCACCCCACTTATTCATGGCCTCCTTTTGATAGCTAAGGATAGATTAGAGAAGTGTGTTCTTTATATTCATTTGTGTTTTTTCTTTCATACAGATTCAACAGGTCAGTAGCTTTAACTCACTTAAGGTAAGCTGGTATTCAAAGAATGTATTATTAGAGATGACTTATAATAAACTTTTCATCTCTGTAAGGTGTTGATCGAGCACATAGATTTTTATTTTATTTTATTTTTAGTGGGCTCTACACCCAGTGTGGGGCTTGAACTCAGGATCCTGAGATTGAGTCAAATGCTCTATTGAGTGAACCAGCCATGCAACCCAACCACACAGAATTTTAAGACAGTTTATCCCTTGGGGGAAAAAATACATTTTTCTGCATATATTTTATAGAAACCAGCCTGAAAACAAACCTAGTCTTATGAGTAAATACTAATTTAAAAGCAATCCTGCTTCCTTGATTTCTCCTTTTCATCTCTCTGGGAGATTTTGTTCACTATTAATTTCTCATTAATGATAGCAATTATATAAATTCCCTGGTAATCTAGACCACATCATTGTAAATGTCCATAAAAAGTTGAAATTAAGGTCTGATGCTTTAAAGAAAACATTTCAATAAACAAAATGAGAGTCTTATTCAATTGCTATTATGCATCAGTAAAGAAATGCGGAGAACTTGTCTTGAAAAAAGTAGAACTCTACCTTGTCAGGCCCTTTCCAGAATAAACGGAGTGGTAATATGCACTGGTCTCTTTGATGCCAATCCCATAATAATGATACCTAGAGCAAGGACAGGAACCGGCTCTGTGTTAATGAAAGCATTTTTTGAAGGGGAAAAGGAAACTAAAGTATAGTTGAGGGAAAGCACAAGTAAGAACTGCAACCCCTTGATCATTTCCTTTCCTGATTTTTTTTTCAAATAGCACCTTAATGTGCTAAATCCCCTTGATGGTCATTAGTCCTACTTATGGTCATATTTCTGGCTCTGGGATTAAAAAGGGAGACATCTATAGCCAATCCCCTATGAACCCCTAAAATATTGGGTTTCAAAAACCAAAACATTTGTCAATGTAGACATTTAAATGTAGTCACCTAAATTTGTAAATGTCAGCACAGGCTCCAAGTATACCAAGTATCTATCTGCAAACTGCTGTTCAATTTGAACATAGTTGAACAAGAAAATGATAGGTTTCCTTTATAGTGTATTTAATGGATGGAGAAAATAGTATGACATTGCATGGAGAAAGACATCAATGTCATGTACAGAGATATGTATGGAGCACATGATCTTCCAAGTTATTTTCCTCATGAGGAATGAGAAGTCCAATTCCTTGTCATTTTCACTTCAAACTTTTGAGCAACAATGAGGGCAAAACTATGTGATGAGTCAATGGAAACATGCAACATGGAAAGTAACAGTGTTACAAATAATTTGTTATAGATGTGTCTCTGGATCCTGAGCCACAGGCAAGTATAGCATCTCATCAATTCTCAAGTTGCAGCTCATTCTTCTCAACTGCAGAATTCTGACTGATGATATACCCAAGTACAAACACTGCAACTATTATACAAAAGCTCATCAAATAGTGGGGATTGAGGAAGTGTGGCCAAGACCAGCTAACTTCCACCTCTCCTCTCCTTCCCCTCCCCTAATCCATGCAGCAGCGGCACCTGCTTCCTTATCTATTGTTTCCATTTGCATTCATCTAAAACCAGGCAAGGAATGAAATAAATGTGAGTAAGGGGGTTTCCACAGGACTTCAGTGTGACCATATTTAAAATTTTATTACTTAGCATCATCACCTGGGCTTGAAGGGGCCAGAAAAGGGCCCCTTTTCTGATCTAAAAAAAAAAAAAAAAAAAAAAGAAGAAGAAGCCTTGGCAGAGCAAATTCACCCCTAAACATTTTCAAGGCCCAGGACAAGAGTACAAATGAAAGCCCAAATCCATATATTTAAGTATTTAAATATAAGTCAAGCTAACAAACCACTCAATAAAATACCCCTGTTCTTCTATCTTGACAATATAACTCCATGATGATCTGGTAGGTGGATTTGAATTTAGAACTCTTCATGTGTGAACATGGTGGTGGGAGAAGAGCCAGCCTCAACCCTTCTCTTCCCAGGCTCTGCTCTTCTGTTCACTGTGAGGAACCTCTTGTGAACACACAGCCTCCACGTCCAAGACCAATCCAATCCTCCAACTACCACCACCAAAAAGCTACTACCTGTGGTCACCTCTCAGATCTATGTATAGTGGTGGAGCACAGCACTCTTTTCAGGATGGGCGGGGGGAAGAGTCCCACATAGGAGGGAGAAGGCAGGCCTGGGGCTGTTTGGACAGAGAATTCTGGGGCCCCAGGGACCTGCAATGTGGGCTAGAAAGAGAATGTGGTCTTGCAGTGGACATATTTACTCAAGCTATAGACTCCTAGTCTCCTGAGAAAAAGAACAGTGGGAGGAGGGTCAGCGGAGAGCCTTTTAGACTCTGAGGTCCAGAGATGGCTTCTCTCCCAATAAGTTCTAAGGGCAAAGAAGTCACTTTTAATGACCCTACACTACTTGAGATGGACAAGAAAGAATTTTTAAATATGAAAACAAAAATTACATTTATTATAATAAACACATTTGAGAAATGGTAGGAGGGATGATCAAGGTAAATGGAGATATTATCTGATTGCTGTGAACTGGGAACAAGTTTTCAATACAAGGACAATAAGGAGTCTGTTAACCTGAGCAGAGGAGGTTTATAATTGTTCCTGTTTTACAGTATCGAAATTAAGAAAATCTTATAGTGATGAGGAAAAAAAGAACCCCTAAGTTATATTGGAACAAAGAGGGAGATGAAGGAAAGATGAGAGCTATGGAAACTCCAAAATATGGACCTGACTTAATTCTCCAATGAGAAATTAAAAGAAGGAAGTTTATTTAAGTTGCAAAGACCTTACCAAAAACAGCTATATTAAGAGAAATAGATAAGGAGAAATACCTAAAAATCACAAAAAATGAGCAGATTTAGATGTTATTGGGCCAAGTATATTAGAATTAGTTAATGAACCTAAGAGTCTGAAATAAGTATTAATATTTTCTTGACTAAATTTTGGAACAAAGATAGCAGAGGGAATGTCTTTGTATTAGAAGAGATAAAGCAAGGGATGTTTGAGAAAGGGGGATCAATTATAATGGAAATATATTGTAATTTCATGTTCTCTGGCACAGTTCTCTATTTATTCTATAGATGCTAGAGTTTAAATAACTATATTTTAGCCACTTGCTAAAGTAATATATGGTAAGCATTGTTTTAAAAGTCTATCATTTTCTTTTATTAGAACTTTGATCTTCTTGTTTCTCAACTATGATCCTTTTTTCAACATGCACGTACTATCATACTATGGTAAGGTGGTTCTTCACGCAGATTTGAGAAGAAATTACATTGCCCGGAGGTAGACAAAAAGCGTAGGACAAGTGGAAAGGATAAGCAGGAGTTGAACAAGTATTAGAAGACATACTGTGTCCTGATGACTATGCTAGATGTCAATACAATGACAAAACAGACATGGAAAATCAGGTCAGGAATGTGCTTCTCTACACCCTTGTTCATGGCATCCTGAGCCATACCATTTGCCAGTCATGGAACACTGACCACACTGACCAATACTGGGCATATTTTACTTCCATTTTTTAAAATCACCTTATGGTCACTTTAAAAAAAAAAAAGCTGCAACATCCTTTAGGACTCAATAATACTGACTAATATGAATTTGTAATTTTTTTGTACTTACGACTTTTAAGAAAAGGGTATTCTCATGACACAATTCATTGGTTCCTTATTTTTCTAACAGGATTGTATTATTTTGCCCCCTCTTTTCCAGTCATTAGGGAAAAACATCTTTAAAAACAGAAGTATGGGGGCGCCTGGGTGGCTCAATGGGTTAAGCCTCTGCCTTTGGCTCAGGTCATGATCCCAGCGTCCTGGGATTGAGCCCCATATCGGGCTTCCTGCTCAGCGGGAAGCCTGCTTCTCCCTCTCCCACTCCACCTGCTTGTATTTCCTCTCTCGCTGTCTCTCTCTGTCAAATAAATAAGTAAAATCTTAAAAAAAAAAAAAAAAAAAAAACGGAAGTATGTAATGCTTCCAACTACATTCAAAGTCAAGATTTTATATCTTACCATACCCCTGCTCCAACCCCAGCAAAAGAAAATCCTTTTAAAATACTGTATTTTAAAGATTTCATTTATTTGTTTTTGCTAGACAAAGAGACAGAGCAGGAGTAGAGGGGAGGGGCAGAGGGAAAAGCAGACTCTCTAATGAGCAGGGAGCCAACCTGGGACTTGATCCTGGGACCCTGGGATCATGACCTGAACTGAAGGCAGACGTTTAACTGACTGACTGACTGAGCCACCCAGGCGCCCTAAAATGCTGTATTTTATTCACAGGCCAAACGTAAATGATACTATCAACCCAGACACAACTGAGCACTCTGTTTCAACTGGCTATGTTGCCTTCATACTTGGGAAGCAAAAGATACACACACACATACATATAAGCAAAAGATATATATATATATAGATAGATAGATAGATAGATATACATATATATATATATAATTTTGTATTTCAATTTTGTTTGTAATTAGAAATCTTTAAGTGAAGATGTTTTGAATATGTTTGCACTCAGTGTAAACACTCCTAGCTCAGCATGCATCATATTAAGCAAGCATTGATATCTAACAGGAATCACCAAGACTTATAACACTGATCAAATGAAATTATATGAAACACATAATCAAATGAAATTATTGCCACTCTTACTACTAAAGTATTTACATTTTTCATATTTGATAATCCATATGTAAACAAAGACCCTTTCTATAATGTAAGCTCCCTATAATAGAAATCAATAAACATTTGCTGAATAAATAAATAACATGAAAAAAGTTAGAAATAACAATGCATTATAAGGAAAACTTTACAAACAGGAATTTTTCAATTAAGGCCATGCATCTTGTATCAGATACTTAAATATATTAGCACAATTTTAAATTTGGTAGAGATCAAAGAGTTTCTTGTCTAACATGGTATAAGAAATATACTAACTCCTTTATCCTTTTTATAGGTTAAATATAAGAAATAGACTAACTCCTTTAACCCTACCATGAGCACTGTATAAACTATTATTGTCACAATTACTTGCTCTCCATAAATAATGTGTTTTCTCACCTCGGCACCCTTACTTGATTGAATTCTTCATTGGGAATGCCCTTCTTCCTTTCTGTCATGGTTTCTTAACTTACACCCCAAGGCATAGCTTTAATGCATGAAGCACTTGCCTGGTCTCTCAGACAAATCTAATCTCTCTATCCTTTAAGCTCCTCTCCTCTCTTGGTCATTTATCCTATGTAGCTTTATACCTCATACCACTGGTGTGTTTCTACATGGCTTAGCTGTCCCACTAAACTATAAGGTTTAGAGGAAAGGAACTGGATCTTTTCCTTCATTGATGTTCTCCTTAGAAATTACTGTATAGAAAAATCCTTGCTTATTGGAGGATGAATCAATGTCCCCTGCTAGAAATTTAGACACTTATAAAACACAGAGTCCCTTATAGCCAACAGTTTCAATAACGGCCTCATTGTACCATGCATTACTACGTCACCAAAATAAAATACTGGGGTCAAACAAGGGTGGTATGGCTAAACAATATGTACAAAGGACATGATATCAGTGTATTTAAGCAGAAAGACTATGGCCAGGAATATAAATCTTAATATTTTGCAATGA